GCACTGACACAAGCAGAAGGCGGGAGCGTGGGTAAATCAGCATCAGCCGGCCAAAAATTTGCAGATTATTTGTCCATCTATTGTAATTGTTTGAGCCCGTTTTCGAATTTTCCCTCGCACCCGTGTCAGCCCGCCCTAGTATAGTCTAGCACGATGACAGCTCCGCAAGCACAGCTGGACTTTTTAGTGACGGCGGGAAGTATGCTGGAATGGCATGACAATCTGGACAGGAATAAGCCGGGTCTGCTGGAAGTAAGTACCGATCCGGATAGTTGCCCCCCTTTCGATAAACAGCGAGTGTTTCCTTCACAGTTGACCGGCGTTAGTCAGCATGGACGAGCCACGATGAGTGGGCTCAATGACTACGATTACCAGAGCCTGTCGTTCCTCAAATCGGATGAAACACATAACCTACAACAGCTGCGGACGGTGACCAAATCGGCCATACCCAACGAGATCCTGGAGCACTTCAAGCGTACGTATTCCTGGCACATATCTCCTGATTTGCTCTTGTTTCAATCTCTACTCTCCCCTTTGCAGACATAAAATGCCACTGCACCATGGGCCTGTTCCCGGAAATTGGTCGTGCCTGGCTGACCATCGACTCGGAGATCTACATTTGGACCTTCAACCAGGCACGGGACGTGGCCTACTACGATGGACTGAGCCACTTGATTGTTAGCGTTGGCCTGATCAAGCCAAAGGCCGGCGTTTTTGTGGAGGACGTCAAGTACCTCCTGCTCCTCACCACGCCCATCGAGGTCATTGTCCTGGGCGTTACCTTCGGCGAGGGTTCGTGCAACGAAATGCAGCTGATGAACAAGCCCATCTTTGTGATTGCCACCGACAACGTGTCCATAAGCGTCATCAAGGGCACGGACGACGGGCGCATCTTTCTGGGCGGTCGCGATGGCTGCCTCTATGAGATATTCTACCAGGCCGAGTCCAGTTGGTTTGGCAAGCGCTGCAAGAAGATAAACCTCTCGCAAGGACTGGTCTCTTTCATGGTTCCCAGCTTCCTCAAAGTTTTCTCGGTAATCTTAGCCACTAGCTTCGTGAAACAAGTACTCTAACTCAGTTTGATTTCCCTGCAGGAAGTGGATCCAATCGAGCGAATAGAGATCGATAACAGCCGAAAGCTCCTCTACATTTTAACGGAAAGAGGTGCCATCGAAGCCTGGGACATTAGTACGGACTACACGAATGCGCGAAGGCTAGGAAGGATCACCCAAAACGATATTACAAACCAGGCAGTTAGTCTGATAACGTAAGTGCAAGTTTCGCTGTCTTTTGGACACCATCATCTATAGAATCTAAGTGTAAACGATCGTAATCACTTAAATTTCCTTCTTAGGACTGTGGACCCGTCCATTTTCAAAAGTGTCAAGGCCATCTGCCCTCTGAGTGCTGACGATGCCGGCAAACTGCACCTGGTGGCTGTGACGCAGTGCGGTGTGCGACTTTACTTCTCCACCACATCTCTAAATGTGCAGCAGCAATTCAATGCCACAGCGGTTAGCAATCAGGGCGACAATACAGGATTTGGTCAGTCGGTAACGCAGCCACCACTGTCGCCCGGGGCCGACGCACCAAAGGGACTGTATCTGCTCCACGTACGTTTGCCACCCGGCTACACTCCAAATGCCACCACCAACAAGCCAAAGCAGGTGCATGCCGCGCACTACACAGAGGGCACCATGTTGATGATCACCACACAGCAGCAGGAACAGGACCTGCTGTGGTCAGTCAGCTCGGCTCCATCGGTTAACTTTACCTACCTAGTGGAGTCGACGGCTCTGGAGAGCCTGGATGGAGTGGTCTGGGGTCTGGCCGAGGTGCAAGAGTTGTCGAAGCGGCTTCTAAAGTCCCCATTGAACAGTGCCCGCCACTCGCGCAAAGTTGCGCTGCTCACCAACCAGGGCACACATATTATAGAGCTGCTCAAAATGGTCGACGTATTGCGTCAGATCCTGCTATCCTGTCATGGACCCCACCATGAGGAGGTGAAGATGTTCTTCCAGTCGCAGAACCAGCGAGAAGCGTGTGTCACCGCTCTGTTGCTGGCCACTTCGGATAAATATCGTGGCGGCGACATCGCCTTGTGGGCCACCCAGGCGTTCATGCTGTATGGCGGGGAGCCGTGTTTCCAGCATCAAAAGTTCCCCAACGCCAGTAACCGCAACTTGGCGAATCAAACTCTTGGTGTAAATACGACAACGGGGAGGGAGCGACAGCCCATGTTTATGTCAACGCCAATGCCAAATACCGCGAACAGTCCGATGTCTTATCCTGGATCACATTTCAATCAGCCAATCAGTCCAAGTGAGTTAAACTGGACTTCGGGAGCATCAAATAGTCAAATGTAACATTTAATTTTCAGTTGGGAATATGCAGCCCTCGCAGGTGGTTAGCAACGAGAATACACCAATTGTATTTTCGGCCAAACACGACGGACTCTACCTGTATGTCTCGCGGATGTTGCGTTCAATTTGGCAAATGCGCTGTGTAAATGAGCGTTTCTGCTCCAATCTGACCTACAGCGATTGTACCCTTTTGCAGGCCGATCTGCGCTCCTTGCGTAGCTTTCTGGAAGTACACTCTGTGCACGATATTTCCTGTAAGTAATTCTCCGCAAATGTAACTAAATTCCCGGTTTGCACATTCAGGACCTAAAATGTTAATAGTTAACCCTATTAATTCAACACTCTTTATTCCAGCGTCTACTCGAGTTTCATTTGACCCCCATTTGGAAAGAACCAATTCATACAACACCATCATGATGAACAACACTCTTTTGCCCATCCCGGAGCAACGAATTTTATCCGAGCAAGCTCAAGTCGAGGAAAAGCGATCACTTTCCGCACTCAACCTCTTTGTCAGTAAGTAAAGTTAATGAATACTATTTTTCATGTAATCTAATTGACATCTTTTAACAGAACATGCCTGCGAGGTAATATCACTTTGGAGCATCCTAAACTCGCATTCCTTCCAACTGATTTGCCTGCAACTCAGTCCCGAACAGCAAAAGATGTTGAAGTGCTGCACCTTCCGTGACCTGCTACTCACACGTTCTGAGGTCTGCGCATTCTTAATCATCTCGCTGATTAATCTGTACCTCAAGGACAAGGCGAGCGTATCCGAGGTGTCAAAGAACTTGCGCGAGAACTGTCCGAATATCTACAGGCATGAGGATGATGTGACCTACAAGGCCACTGAGCTGTTAATGAATGCGAAGAACTGCACTTCACCCACCGAAAAGGAGCAAAAGCTGCGTACCACCCTCCAAATGTGCAAGGAAGCTGCTCCCACACTGCCACTGCATAGTATTTGCCAGCAGTTCATTTCCGCCGATTTCTTCGAGGGCGTGATCGAGCTTTCGGCCGTGTGTGCGTCGAAAAGCGATCCGGAGGAGGTGGGCGTCCACTTCTACAACAACGGAGAGCCAGCCGAAGATCGCGAAGGCTACACCTGCTTCGCCACAAGAATGACCTACTACAAGGAGGTGCAACTTATGCTGGACCATATCTACCAAGCTGCATGCAACAAGTCGCAAGTTCAGGAACAAGCGCAATCGCCAAGTCAACTCAAAGGCAAAGCCTCCGATACTAGGAACACTGCTAAGCAAACGATCCCCAAAATTGTGGCTCAGACCCTGCGGGTCAAGGACCCCCTGATCCATGTGACTCTCTACGAATGGCTGCTCGCCCACGACATGCTCAGTGAACTTTTGGACGTGGTCGAGCCCTCGTTGGGAGAGTTCCTGCGCCGCAGTGTGTCGCGAAATGGAGAGAACGTAGTTCTGATCGATTTGTTGTGGAAGTATTACGAAAAGAATGGCCATCACTCCCAGGCAGCCCAGATATTGGACAATTTGGCTATGACACGCAGTGAAAACATAACTCTGGAACAGCGCATCGAGTATCTAGTGCGTGCTGTTATGTGTATGCGAAATGGGAACGTTGGCTCTTCACTAACTAATGGGATATTCCTGAAGGAACTGGAGGACAAGGTAAGATATCAGGGATTATTGGATAAACAACGCATTTATATTCTTGCATTCAAACTATTTAGCTGGATATTGCTCGAGTTCAAAAGGCAGTGCTTGTCGCAATGACAGAATTGGCTCGCCATAAACTGGAGGCTTCCACGGCAGTAAAGGAGTTAAATTACGCGCTGTACGATATCACTCAGCTTTACCAGCACTTTGCCGAGCCCTTCGACCTCTGGGAATGCCAATTGTCCATACTAAATTGCTCCCATCACAACGATCCCCTCCTGATCGAGTCGGTCTGGGGTAACATTATCAACAGCGTTGTCGAGGAACCGGGCACAACTCTGGAACGCAGCAATAGGTTGTTCACGAAAATCGAACTTTTGGTGAGAGAGTACGAGGAATCGGGAGCCTGCTTTCCCTTTGCTTTTCTCATAAGGGAGCTGGAGATCAAAGCCTGCCAGCTGCGCCTGCCCGAGGGAATAGTGCCGGAAAAGCTAGTAAGCATGAATCTAGACGTTGAACTGCTCCTGGAATACTATTCGAGGTACGTAGATCTCAGTTATTACATAAAAATCATAAAAATTGTTACGTTGGAGATGATTACCCCTGATAATCAATTAAATACCTCTTTCAGGATGATTTCAATGAACGAACGTGTTTGGGCGAATGAAGGCAACGAGTGGCATTTGATCCAATCCGCCATACGAGTGGTGTCCCTCCTGGCAGACAACGCACAATCCATTTGGTACCGCTCAAAGTAAGTGCAGCGTTTAGAAAAAATCTTTAGTTATCTAACACGGTATATGCTTTGCAGAAGACGAATTATTGGCAAGGCTCAAGATATAGTGGCCGGCTGCCTGAATATTTGCTACCAAAAGCCAGACACAAACCGTCTTCAACAATCGCTCAAGGAACTACAGAGTCGGCTGCAGCGATTATTGGTTTAGAGCCCCTTTCCCGCTTAAAATAATTATTTTGATTGAATTTGAAAATGCTGGACTAGACGTTAAGTTTGACTGAGATATATATTGTATTTGTATTAAAATGTTAAATAAATTGATTTCCCCACAGTTCGTTGCATGAACTCATGAGGTGTCCATCATTTTTAGGTGTGCTTCCGTCAGAATGCATTTGGTCATGTGGCAGGAGCACGGCACTGGGTGCTCCTCTGTGTTGGGGTCCAGCAGATCCACCTCCAGGTTGTACTTGCGCATGTCAGCCGCACTACGCTTCATGGTGATTTGAAAGGCTATTGGTGACTTTTCCTCCAGATTCTCGCAGGACTCCTCGGGCAGCACGACCACACACTGCTTCCAATGCGTTGGCGGGGAGAGTGGGGATGTGCTCAGAACTGAATCTTCGCCAGGGAATCGCACATCGAACCAAATGCAGAAGCCCTGGTGGTTCCCCGCCTTCTGGGCCGTCACAACCTCCTTGAACTGGATGCTGTCCAATTCGCTGTGCTGCACATCGAGCAGATTCATCCAATGAAAGACGACGCCCTCGTGGAGAAGGTCCTGCGGATTCAGATGGGTGATCTCCGGTCTGGCCGACTTCTGGGCTCGCAACTTGCTGGCAAAAGTGTCCATTTTTATGCCATCCACACTGTGCCAATCGTCGAAGAGCGACGGCACCGAGCAGGGCGCCACGAAAATGGTGCACTCGCTGGGAAACAGAAGACCGCCCTCCTTGAGGAAGTTGTCTCGGGCCAGCAGAACGGAGTCTAACATGCCCTCGTGCAGCAGGTAGAAGCCCATCCACTCGGAAACTATGATGTCCACCTTGTCCGCCTCGGCGGGCAGCACGAACTCCTCGACCCGGGATTGAATCACCTTCACCACGTTCGTCAGTCCATTATCTTCGATCAGATCCAGGGCGACCTTAGTGGCCACATTGGATGCTTCCACGGCGTAGACCAAACGGGCTCCCGCCTTCGCACAGAAGGCGGACAGAATCCCAGTGCCGGCACCTACATCCATTACGATCTTATCTTTGAACAGATCCTTGTTCCCGAGAATCGCATTGTAGTAGGCGGCTTGTCGAGGCCGATCCTTCAGCATGAGTTCGTGGATCTGCCATAATGGTCATTGTCAGTCGTGTTGTGATATGTTTGCAATAATTCTGAGAACCTTACCTCCAAGTTTTCATATTCATCGAAGTAAGTATTCGCCATCGCTGCAGAGAAGAGTTATCAAAACATTAGCGTATCAGATCAGGTGGGGATTTTCAAAACAACGTGCAATCCAAGTAAGACCGTCGCTGCTTTCCAAGAAGAAAAAAACTATAAGGTGTGTGTACGCGCTAGGTCTCAAACGGTATCACCAAAAACTGCGGAGGGAGACGCGACTAAGCTAGCGAGGACACCCTCCCTATATTTGCATATTTCCTCCACAGCCGAACGGTCTTATTGATTCATCAACACTGTATTCCGCCAATTTGTAGACGCTTCGCATCCCGCCAATTTTTGCAAGTAAGCTGAATGAAGAACAAAGGTTTAAGGAAGTCATATTAAAGTCTAATTTGTTCTGCCCCAGATGCCATCATCGACCAATTGCGACGACATTCAAGTTGCCAAGAAAATGAAGTTCGAAGACAAGTGCGTGCTTAAATTCGCAAAGCTCACCGAAAATGCTCTGGAGCCGGTAAGGGGATCAGTCAAGGCTGCGGGAGTTGACCTGCGTAGCGCCTATGACCTGGTTGTTCCTGCCCGAGGAAAGGCGATCGTAAAGACCGATCTGCAGGTGCAGGTTCCCGAGGGCTCCTACGGACGGGTGGCCCCGCGATCTGGACTGGCCGTAAAGAACTTCATCGATGTGGGTGCCGGCGTGGTGGACGAGGACTACCGCGGCAACCTTGGCGTCGTCCTCTTCAATCACTCGGACGTGGAGTTCGAGGTGAAGCGTGGCGACCGCATTGCCCAGTTCATTTGCGAACGCATCTTCTATCCGGAACTGCAGTTGGTGGACAAGCTGGAGGACACCGAGCGCGGCGAGGGAGGATTTGGTTCCACGGGCGTCAAGGATCTGCCGGCGGCCAAGGCCCAGAATGGCAACGGGCAAAAGGCAACCGAACCGGAGGAAGCTGCTCCCGCTCCCGCTCCCATTGCCACGTAGAGGAGAAACTATCGTACTATTAAGCACATCGTATTTATGGGCCAACGTTTCCTAGGCCCTTCATGTTCATAATCCAAGGAAAGAGGAAAAAGTTGAATAATGTGTATTTATTTGTCTATTAAAGGCTGCCAGTCTACCAATGAAAATTAAAGGTTTTCTGTGTTTCATATTGCCATCAGGGCGCCAGGAAGATTAGCCTCTATTGATACGGCCTTTGAAGATCACCGTAACTAGATGCTTCCGAAAAAAGGTAATGCCCTTCAGTTCCGAAAAAAAGTTTCACTCGTGAACAACCTTGTGAATAACGCGTGATATCCCTTCAGTTCTGCAGTAGGTTCTGCCAAAAACTCTGATGTCAGCAGTGAATTCGGTGCAGAGTAGAAGACTGCCGACAAAAGCAGTCGGGCAAAAGAGAGACAGATGTTCGGAGATTTCCCTCTCTTTCCTTGTCTCATAATCTGCCTGCAATCCGCGCTCGCAGACACAAATTTCGGCTGGTCCGTTATTATTCCTTATGTTTTTTTTTGCGTCCCTCCGATATGTTCAGCTAGCGACTAACATCTCGGCGGAAAAATTTTTTTAATACTTTGGGAGCGTTATTGTATTCAAAAAAACGAATAATATTGTTTTAGAAAACCACATTTTTTGAACATAGTAAAATTAAGTTCGTTGAATTTACTTATGTATAATGTTATGTTTACGTATTATACATTTTTACAATATAATTTTTTAATTTAGTTATAGAAATGTAGTCCTTTAAAACTTGTTTAAATATTTACAACATTTCAGTATTAACATTTTTAAAAAATTCATATTGTATTTTTTACTCAAGGAGTAAATATTATATAGTCGGATATTTTTCGCCTTAGAAAGGGTATAGGTCCAGTGTCACGCGCCAACAGCGAAGAGAAGACAAATGAAACCAAGTAAAGAGTGAAAAGAAGACTTGGTGCATTCTGTTTGAACTATTAAGGGAAAGCAAGCCATTTAAATTGTGCGCAGCAGGTTTACTTTTTTTTCTAAACTTGAATAAAAGGATATTAAAGTCAGGTAAGTATTCCATTAAGATTAAGATGTTGTGCATTTACTAACGTTAAATGTACGTAAATTTTAAAACTATTTTATGGGTTTGACAAAAAAACCGGAAAAAAATCGGATTCCGGACCAAGTATATTGATAAGCAAATAGTTATTATCAATTAATTAATTATTTCCAAAAAAATTATTATATTGTGTAGTTGAATGAGGTTGAAGGGGAAATTTATATTAATGGAAGGGAATTGCAAGTTAGGGACAGTTTTGTTATTGAGCCAATGAATTCTTTTGGCCTAGGTACCTAGTTAGTTAGTTAATTTAGTTATTTTAGAAGTGCCTTCTAGTATGAAAAGATTTTCAGTAAGGGAATTTAGAAGAAAAGCGGTGGCTATTCCTTATTTAAAAAAAATTGTGGTAATTCCATGTTTGCGTTTTTTAAAATTTTGATTTTGTTTTTTTTTGTAAGCGAGGTGTTTAGTCCTATTTATTATCAACCAGGTATATTTATCTTTTAAAGATTCACCTACCTTGTTTCGAGTACCAAAAAAAAAAATGCATTTGTATTATTTGTATTATTTTTACAATTTATTATTTCTTTTTATTTTCTTTACTTATTGATTATGGATTATTTACTGTTTATTAGTATTTTCGTTTATTTTTTATAATGTCATTTATTTTTAACTATTTACTAATATTTTCTTTATTACAATTATTGTTTATTTACTGTTTGTTATTATTTTCCTTTGTTTTTGTTTTTTTTATTATAATTCGATATATTTATAATTTTTACAAAAATTTATTTTATATTATTTCTTATTATGTTTTTTTAAACATTTTTAAATTAGTATGTCTCAACCAGAACCTAAAAGTCGTCGAGTCCAGATTGATGTGGAAGGTAAGTGTAAACAAAAGAAATTGATTTTCTTGTTTCAATATACATACATAGTTTGAAAACTGATTGCATTAATACAATATTTTTTTTTACAGGAACACCATCAGTCTCCAGTAAGTTAAAAAATTGGTGTTATTTTATAATTTTGTAATTTTCCTTTTTTTTTAAAGGTTCAACTGAACAACAAATGTCAGAGCTAAAAGGTATGTTTTATAACTTTACACTGAAAATAGTAGTCTCCCTGATTTTAAGAAGTTGGTCGTCAATGGCGATTTATTCTATATAAATTTTCAAAAAATCAGGGCTATTACTATTTAGTGTTTTTACTGTTACTTGCACTAAAAATAGTATTCGGCCGGTTTTCTTGAAAATTTGTCGTACTCTAAATTTATAGAAAAAATCGCCAGTGAAGGCAAATTTCTAAAAATCAGGGCGATTACTATTTTCAGTCTATTTTGAAGTTTTGTTCTTTTTTTGTAATAAAAATATTTTTAAATTTCAGAAGAGGTTCTCCAGATCCGCAGAGAGAACACTGTTATTATGCAAAAGTTGGACCTGTTGGCGGACAAACTGGCGGAAATCAACGCAATTTTACAGATGTCATTTGCGCCTGGCAAGGAGAATTACGGCGTTTTACCATTTCCCTTAAAGAGGAATTAGACGATTTTGAAAATTGTTTGATCTCGGATCTTATTGGTTTTTACGTAAGTATTGAGCAAGGCCAAATTGTTATTGCTTTTCTAAGTTTCTTTTTAACTTCTATTTGCAGACAAAGAAAATAACAAAAATAATTTGAAGCGAATAGCAGCAAATATTAAAAATAACTATACTTTGGACGGGTCCAACGGGAAGAATTCCTTTAGAGCCCTTGTAGGGTTATACGGAGTTCTAAAAGGTAAATATACAAATAATCAACTAAAATGCAGTTTTCAAACATATGCTCATACAGTTTTTCAGTTGCTTTGGCCAAGGTGTGTTGGCCAATGTTTAGGGAAGAGATGACCAACGTCAACATGAAATATACGAAACAGAAAAATAGGCTTACTAATAAAAAAAAATTTTTTCGCTGGGCATCTAACTGGATGAGCACCCAAATTCATTGCCTACTTTTGCTTGCATTATGTAATCATATTCTACACGTTTGCTACATTTCCGCGTGCCAAAAAATCTCTGGCAGCCAAGACTCAAACCAGATTTTAAAATTCTCAGAATATAAATTTCTTGATTTAAAATCTACAAACTTGCCACTTGATTAAAAAATATTGCATTTTTTGCTTTTTTAAAGTGTAGCAACAAAGAAGAACGAGAATGGATAATATAAAAATTAGGGGAAGAAAAGGGAGAGAAGTTCGCAAACATTTTTCAAAAAATAAGCGAAAAATTTGCCTCTGCTAAACAGAGCCCAGGCAATTTGAAATAGTTAAGGACAACTAATTATTAGATACGCAAATAAGTACTTCATCTAGTTCTAGCTCCTTGCCCTTCTTTCATTCCCGCACTTCACTTCAAAATCAGTCATGGAAGGAATGAAACATTTAAAAACTCCTTTACAATTGAAATTAGAAGAGGCGATTTTGACCGTTAAGGGATTAAAATTAGAGCTTCGAAGAACTGATTTGGAAATTGACAACATCTGAGTCCGAGACGCTCCCGCAAGCCGCCCTATCGAGTTATTTACAAGTTAGTATACCTACCAAAAATTAATCTAAGTTAGATTATAAAATTAGAGGTGGGCTTAAAAAAACTATTTGTATGTGTATGAAAAATTACTTTGCTTAAGGGCACCTTTGCAAACACCCAAGCAAGTGGAGTTGGCATCTTCAGCTTTTTCGTAAAAAACGTAGTCAATTAATTCCAAGCAAAATATTAAAAATGATCCAATAGGAAAAATATGGGGTCGAAAGGGGTAAATAAATATGTTTATATGCTCCATATTATATGCGCTAATAGGAAAATTTTGCACCATAATTGTTGTTGGAAAAATAATTTTATAATGAACAAGTGATAGAGTTCCAAACACAGCTAACAGGTTGGAGACAAAAGGGTTAAGGTTGCTAGTAGTGGTAAACGCTTGTGATAGGGATAAGAAATATTTTGTTTAAAGCACTAAAATTGCATACTAAAAATTTTAAATATATGTATAAATATATAAATATATAAAATTCATTCCCTAATAACGTTTTGTAGTTTGGAACTAAATAATTTAAAAAGTTGTGCTGTCCCCTTGATTAAAATAAGATCTCAGCTATGATGATTGATTTGTTTGGATAATTGAAACTTAAAGCCGTAATTACTTTTAAATGTAAAGCCTTATAAACCCAGTGCATTTTGTTTATTTTTGTATAAATAAGCATATTCAACAGTACAATTGCGAAAACTTATTTTGCTCATCTTAACCTTAAGGAATATGTTTATAGGCCCCTATGTATGTATGTTGGTATATTTAAGTAGCCATGAAGAGGCGATAGGTTAGACCTGATGTTAATTATATTCTCGTAAACAGAAGTGCGGAATCACTTACCTGCAACAGGTATTATACCAGCCAACCTCTCGGATCTGAATTAAAGGAGTTGGCTGCACAGAAGTGAAGCAATTATGTTTCTGAAGAAAAGCAGAGCGGGTCGAGCGACTGGGCTTTATGGACTTTATGGGCTTTTTAGAGGCTAGGGATACTTGAACCGGACGGGCGCAGTGAGTTATGACCGAGTAATGAGAGCCAAGAAGCGCCGATGGCCCACAATATCAGCTCGCGTGTCTCAAGTGCATTGCTGCACAATTTACGCGGCCGATTTTAATAAATTCAATGACTCCAATTTGTAATTAGACGCTGGAGGTGCGCTGCGTGCTTTTAATTGTTTTGCAGCCATCCTTGGTTGCCTTTTGGCGCAACGGTTCCGCTTGACCCGCGACGCATCGAGCGGTCCGGAGGTCAGCCGCGTGCCCATAACGCCCCAGAAATCCGTTCCCGACGCCAAGGCAATTGCAATATGCAACTTGCCTCTTGCCACCTGCCACTTCCCACTGCCACTGCCGATTCAGCGAGACTAGTTTTTGTTTGTATGATAACTGGTATAATTTATTTGCTTCAGCTTGTGAAAAATAGCTATAGTTCATTAAATGTATATAATAAATCAAGTTCATTTTCATTCCTATTTCGTAGAAATATGCTACTGCTTCTTTAAGTTCATTGCATACCGCCTAGGTGTTAGAAAATGTTTTTGTGTCTCTCTAAATGTCTTACAACTAATTAAATAAACAATATGTACAATGGAGCTAAAAAATACGTTTTCTATTTGCTTGTTTCTTGTTGTTTTCATTTGTGTATGGTGTGTGTGTGTGTGTTTCAAGTCTTGGAGCTCTTAAAAGGATGCATAGTTCTTAAAGTTGAATTTTGAATTCCTTTGTGCAATGGCCGCGGAAAATGTAAACATAAATTAATAAAATCTGAACAAAGCATTGGGGGTTCAACAATTCTGCCGTATCGTAGGATATATAAAAATAAATAGCCTTTTACTTCGATTTGCAAAACAATAAAATTGAATTTTTAAGTTTGCTTCACATTTCGCGGAATTCTATTAAATATATATTTACTGACTAGCAGTTAAAAACGAAAAAAGTCATAGAAATAAATAAAATCAATGCAAATTGCGCTTTGCACTTAAGTACGTAAACGAAAACTCTCTCATTAAATTGACTAATAAATTGATTAATGTTATACAAATATGATTTGTGTATGTGCAAATGGAAGACTTTGCGATTATTGTTGTTGTCACTTAAAGTTTACAACTTTAGCTAGCCATTAAATTACATAATTATTGTTTAATTTATACAATAGGTATTGTCTCCAATCCGATTTGCTTGTGTGTTTGTGTGTGTGATTTTTTGTTTTTTGAAAGCTCATTTGGTACAGCAATTTTGCAGTTGAAATGCAATTCATTTAGCATAAATATTTATGGGGTCCGCTGATAACTAGCTGGCGTCGTGCAGTCCGCTGCACGGCAACACTGGCAGCAACATGTTGCTGTTGGGCGAACTGGCTGTTGCTGGTGGACCGGCCATATCGCTGCCCTGATTGCTGTTGCTGTTGCTGCTGCTGCTGCTGCCGTTGCTGCCGCCATTAAAGATCTCCGACTTGATGCTGCAACTAGTTGCGGCTGCTCCTGCTGCTGCTGTTGTTGCTGCTGCTGCTGCTGCCGTTGCTGCTGGTGTTGCTGCTGCTCCTGGTGCTGCCCCACCCGTTTGCAGTGCCAGCATTTGTTGCGCCTGCGCAACGCATGCAACACACGGGCACGGCCCGCCCAATTTCTTCGCCAATATGGAGCGCAGCTTGAGAGCCGGCCCCAGCTTCATGCCCAGCGAGTTAACCAAGTGGTCTTCGGTTAAGAGCGGCAGGCCAGTGCCATCGATGGACTGATCACGAAACGACTGTAACGAGAAGAGAGCCAAAGAGAGAATTAGTGGGGTGTCTTCGAAAGAGTCTGCGGATTTATGGCCACCGTGACCACTTGCACAGTGCTTTGTGGTGTGAAAATATATGATTTTAAATATATACTTTTTGTTTTTAAATATTAAGTTATAAGCCAGTTTCGCCCACTTATGTTTAAAAATAATAGATTTTTGTACCTATACATTTCTCCTAATATTATTATAAATATTGATTATACTTAATTTATCCTAAAAATAATTTTTTAAGAACCCTTATAGCACATTTTCCTACTACCGAGGTTTTTTTTATATATTTTTATTTTCAGTTAAATTATGAAAACCCCTTAAAACATTCGAGCTTTTTGTTAATATGATCTTATTTATCAGAAATAATTGAGTACCGAGTACCAACACGCTTTATGGCGCTATTTGATTGATAAACCCATCTACCCATTTTTATGAGTGAGCATTTTTCATCCTCTTGGCCCACCGTGCCCGTGCCACCATCCAGAATTCGTAGGCGCAGGGCATCCTGTATTTTTCTTTATTCAGCATTCTGTTCTGTGTGTGTGTCCGTGTACTTGTGATTAATGCGCGGCTTTTAAAATTGTTAATGAAAAACGATTTTAGCCAAAGCTGCCTGACTTGGCTGCCGCTGCCGGTGCAGTAGCATTTTCATATTTGCAACGCACGATCGATTGAAAGTGGGCAGAGAGTGGGCACCCCATTTCCCTGCTCCTCCTCCTCCTCATCCTTCGAGCTGATCTCCACTGCCACGCCCCCTGCTGCTGCTGCTGATGCTGCCACAAACTCCCCTTTGGGCAAAACGAAGCTCGCGCCACATGAGATTTCTATTATAGATTGGCCCTGATTGAATTCCACGTAGCTCTCTTCAACGGGGGCCAACCTGTTTCCGCGGCAGCTGCTGATGTTGCTGCTGCACCGCTGCAACTTGGACTAACAACTGCCACTGTTTTCTGCTCCCCAGCAAATGCCCCTTTTTTTTGCTGTTGCTGTTGCTTTTGCTGTGGCCCCGCTTTGGACACGCCTTTATCGGGCTGCCCCTTTTTATGGGCGAGAGAAGAGCCATGGAGGCAGTCAAATCGATTCGATTCCGGGCGGCGGCGGTCATCTCTATATATAAGGGAGGGTCGGCCAGCCCGGGCAGCTCAGCGTTGCAGCGATGTGGCGGATGCGGATACGGCTACTCACTGGCTACCTGGTCCTGCTGGCCCTCGGCCATCTGCCGGAGCACGGCGCACTGGGCCAGAAGTACTACATGAACTTTGCCTTCAACAACAATAATCCGGACGCAGAGGGCGGAGCCGGCGCCGGAGGGGCTGCCGCTGGTGGTGGTGCCGCTGGCGGAGGATCCCATGATGGATCGACCGATGCGGATGCCAGCGGTTCGACGGACGCACCTGGCGATAAACATGCCTCGGGTGAAGCCCATACCCCTGAACCTCATCACTCTGGTGATGACTCCAGTGGGGATGACAAACATACAACAACTGAAGCATCTGGAAGTCATTCGAAAGAAGATTCCAAGAGCGGGAGCAATGAAGCCGATACCGGAAAGGATGATGACAACGATGATAGCGACAGCAAGGACGCCAAGGATCGGCGCACGAAGGCGGATGAGATCGAGCGCACCGGTGGGGACAAGCGCAACGATCACAGCCACCACAGTAGCTACGAGATCAGCATCGACGACAGTTTCGGCGGGCGGTACGTGCGATCCATTTACGAGAGCAGCGAGAGCCACGGACACTCCGGCAGCAATGCGGGCTCCAACCAGCGGGACAGCAAGGGCAAGGAAAGCAGCCAGGAGAAGGCCCAGGATGTCAACGAACGGGCTCCTCTCGCCACTGGCACTGTGGCCGATGCGCCGGAAACTGGAGCTCTAGATGCCAAGCAGGATGACTACGAGGAAATGTAACACCACCGGGAGATCTGAGAGTAAGAGATCCAGGACGTGGGCCACCCCTTTCTAGTCTTATCATTTCTTTGTTCCTTTTCTCCGACAGTAAGATTCGCTCGAGGGACTTTGGGAAGACGCAGCCACTTCAATTGATTTTATCATTAAAATGACAATAAAATTTAAATACTAATAATGTTTTACTTAATGGGTAAAGGGATAAAGGGTGGATAAAAATAAAAAACTATACTAAAAGGCACTACAAGTTTAAAGAAGACTAAAGGAAGAAAGCAGTTGAAAACACAATTAAAGCTCTTAAATAAATTTCGTTCTGTATAAATACTTTTTAAATAAAATCAATTACAAAAGAAAGAGAAAATATAAATCATTTTTTTACTACATGTTTTAAATCTTTAGAGTCCCTTTTAAAAGTTTTATTTTATTGGTTTTATTATAGTTGGTTACTCTCAGGAGAAGACATCTCGGATCGTACCAGCATGATTTTTATTAAACTTCTACAAGAATTTTCTACACAACGTTTTATAGCCATTAAGTTGGCTGATCAACGTTAAATAAATAAATTTGTTATACTAAAAAAAACTGAAATTTAAACATTTAGTCAAAAATGTTATATTATTTTTTGATTAATGTAACTTTATTCATTTGTGCATTTTTAAATCCGCTAGTAGAAAACTATTTCAAATTTAACGTGATTTTAATTGAATTTAAATTAAGCCCAGTTATACCTTTTTACTTGTGATTTTATTTTCAAAGCGGACATTTTATTTGGGAGTTGTTTTGATATTATAAGTCGAAAACTTCTTCCATTTCTGTTTTAAAAGTGAACTGTATCATCAATTAGAGGCTGCACCTCTATAAGCACATCGAATCTTAGGGAAATTGATTTCCACCACCTCTAAAATCAGGCCCAATTAGAAATGCTTAATTAGATTGGTCGCAACTCAATATAGCGAGGGTATATAGGGAACCCAGCTACCATATACGGACCTCCACTCTGGTTCCGGTGCAGCTGAAGGGCGTAGCTATGCTGATATTCTGCCTGTGGACAACTCTTCCGTGGATTGTCCTGGGCCAGACGTACTACATGAGCTTTGTCTTCAACAACTATGGGCCCTCTAGAATAAGTGCGCCACAACTTGGATTCAACGCCTCTTCAAATCCGCAAATGGGGGGAGGTAATCCAAGAGTCAGCTCGGAAGAGCATCCACGTGAGCAAGAAACTCTGGAGGTCAGTTCGTTGGAGCACTCAAGGGAGTCCAAACGAAGGCCAAGCCGCAAAAAATACAAGAATGAGGAAACTCTGGAGTTGAGTTCAGAAGACCATTCGCGGGACACTCATCATAACTCAAAACGAGCTGTAAAAAACATGGACTCAAGCGATTCGGATGAGAAGTTAATTTGGTCCACAACCTTAAGGATAAAGACTACGACTTCAAAGAGAAAAACAAAAAGGTCGACAATTGAAACTCCAGAAGTCCCCACTGAAATTACCACGGAGCCGAATAAGGTCACTTCAAGTGATAAAGAGAAAACGGATGACCTATCGCCTCCCAAACCCCCTGAAGAAATCACAGAAAACCCAGAGGGACTCATCACAGATCGATCGGAATTCGAATCAACTGTCAGTACATCCTCCACAGATCAACAGGAGAAACCGGACAGTGGTCCCATCCGACCTACCAGTCCATCAAGGACTTGGGGGGAGATCGTAACACCACATCCCCCCGAATTCTTCGATTACCCAGAGGCCACGTGCCGCGAGGACATGGATCTGCACGAGGTCTTCGGCATTAGACTCGAACGAGATCGGGGCTTGCCCACCAAGATATTGTGCGACTTCAAAAACAGCTGGGGCGGTCCTTGGCTACTAATGACGCGGATAGAGCTTCCAGTGCGCATACACCTGCGTCACTGGTACTTCGGCTACGTAACTCCGGACTACAAGGACATTAACATCAACTTCCTAGCCCTGGCCCACATCATGAACTCCATGCGAACTGCCATGCTGATCCTCGGGCAGGACAAGGACAACAAACTGGTTTATAATCTCTACGATGACGTGGTCATCTCGGCCTTCAATGATCTGTTCATGATGCGCAAGGCCGAGTTGGTGGAGGCCAACACCACGGAATTGCTATTCGTGTCCGTGGGCAAGGTGATGAGTTCCTATGCGGGCCGGAATCGATCGTGTCCTTTGCAGGTCCTCGGCAGCTGGTGGGGTCATCACGTGGTTCAACAAATGTACCAGGGATTTTTCTGGTAAGCATAAGATTCCTCTCTTTGTGATTACCAAGATTACGAACAGCATTTCTCTTTTTTTTCCAGTGTCTTTCCCAAGGATCGGAACATCTCAATGCCTGGCTATGTGGCAATATTTATCAAGCCCAGCTTATTTCCGGCAAACCACACAGCTTTCTACAACAAGCCCATATCCACGCGACGACCCTGGAACACCAGCTTAAATACGAAGGTACTGAACGAAACTGCCAGAAGATCGACGCTTTATAAGAAAAACCCAAAAACAGAGTGGGAACGAAACAAGTTGGCTGTCAACAAGGAGCTGGTGCGTCGTGCGAGGATCTTCGAGACCATCGATCGGTTGAGGATGGAGGAGGCAAGACGCTACCGCATGAGGTAGCATTAAAAGGGAGTCTAGATTTAGGGTCACATACATGGGCTGGGACTTCTCCATTACTCAAGAGAGAATAATTTAAGCTGTATACCGTTTAAATACTAAATCACTCATTAGTTTAAGCTAATAAATACGAATAGAGGTTGTGTTTGACTTTTTTGATTGAACAACAGTGTTGTAAATGCATTTACAACTTCAATGTAAATATTACTGTTCGTACAGTATGATATGGAAGTTCTGCTGGAATACTTATTTAGTTTTTTTAAAAGTATTTCTAACAGCCTTTATTCTTTATTTTGTTCTAGTAATTCTATTCTAGTAATCTAATTATTTTTACAATGTAGAGACGAAAGTTTGGGGACAATTAACTTTTTTGTTGTTCTCAAATTTTTCGATTAGATTAGGTTTAAATAACTATCAGTATCCCTT